GAGAAGGGCTGGAGCATGAGACTGGGCAGGTTTTGGAGTCATGTCCACTTCAGGGTATGAACGGACTGGATTCTGCCCACGGGCAGTGGTTTCTCTGTCTTCACCCTGCTTACAGTTCTCTGGAGGAGCTACTCCCCTTAGCCACAGCCACAGGGACATGCTGTGTGGTTCCTTTTGTTCCATGAATCTACTTTAACATTATTTTTAAATGCCTTTATTTTTCTAAATGCCTGGGAGTTATTACAGGTATTCTGTGTGTGTGTATTTGATACACCATCATTTTGTATGGTCCCCAACAAAAATAGGCTTCTTTTTCATGTAACGAATTTCTCCAGAACTATGCTTACAACACCCTCCCGTACGCTGCACTTGCCCACCACACAGCTCTGGCCAGACACCTGTGCAGCGGACGACAGCCAGGTGACTCTGCCACGTCCACCTGCGGGGGGGGGTGCTCAAACTGGATGTAGATTTTTCTGTTTTTCCTTTCTAATAGTATGATGCAAAGTTGCCTTTATAACATAAGTACAAGAGGAAATACCTGCTACTTGGCTCGGAGTGTTTGGGGATCACAGTGGAAAGCGACTCTAGGGAAGGGAGCTGGGAGCACACGGAGTCTTGGCCTCTAAAAGAAATTAGTTTCTCTGTGCAGAGCACCTCACTTCCTCCTCAGAGTAATTATGTAAGATAATGGGGAGGTTATCGGCCATAATTTATTGAACTGTACCCCAAAACAAAACTTGGCATCACTATTTCTTTGGAATCATTGGAGAGTATACATGACTGCCTTACCCATGAATGACCAGGAAATAGTTTTTCTGAGTGACGGATATTTTATTTCAACCCCTCTGAGGAAGAATTGATTTATTTTATTTTACTTTTCAATTACAGTTCACACTCACTCAATAGTATTTTGCATTAGTTTCCAGTGTACAGCATAGTAGTTAGACGATAGTATACTTTACAAAGTGTTCTCCCAGATATTTCCAGTACCCACCAGGCATCATGCACAGTTATTGCAATATCACTGGCTATATGCCCTATACTTTATATCTCTATGACTGTTTTGTAAGTACCAATTTATACTTCTTGATTCCTTCACCCTTTTCACCCAGTTCACCAGCTCTTCTCCCCTAAGAATTGATTCTGTGATGCATCAGTTTCCTGAAACCCAAAACAGAATTCCTGAAATGTCTGCTTGGCGCCTTGGAATGACCCCCGCGGTCTGTATGAATGGGCGTAGGTGTTCCTGAGCACGACAGCATGAGACTGGAGGACCTGTGCCATTCCAGCATGGGCAGACTGCAACAGCGAACTCCAAAGCTCCCTGCCTGAGAAGAGACTGTAGAATGAACAGTTAGAGTAGGACGAGGCCCCGTTTACACAGAGACAGACAGTCCCTGTCAGGGGCCCATTAACATAGGCTGGGACTGGTGGCCCCAGGGAGACACAGCTGAAACTTGACAGGGGACAGCCCACATCTTGGGAAGGAGCACAGCCAGGACACCCCAGTCATCCTCCAGTACTCTCTGCCCTTCCCCAGTCACGCGCCAGTGCGGCTGTGCAGTTCTCAGTTGTCCCTGCTGCCACCATCCTGGTCCTGGCTGCCATCACACCCTGACCGGTTGAGCAAATTCCAGCTGGTCTCCTCATTTCTCCTCATACCCCACTCTAATCTCTGCACTGCTGTTCAAAATACCTTTTAAAAAATCAGATAGGAGTTTGTTACTCCCTCCTTTCATATCCTGCAGTGATCTGCAGTTGAAAACTCACAGTCTTCAACACCAGAATGTCCCCTTTCCCAGCTTCAAAACACTTGGCCTCTCATTCAATGGTCAGATTTTATTCTAGCTTTTATTGTGTATGTCAGCGTCCCTGCTGAAGCTCGGGCCAGCGCCTTATTTGTGATAGGGGCTGAATCAGTGTTTTAGTACAGGTGAGGTCTCAGAGATCCCATGTCACAAAATAGAATATTGTTTTTGATACCACACTTAGCCTTTTTTTATTTCCTCTACTTCAGTGGTTCGTAACTGGTCTTGCTAAGTTATCTTTCATCGTTATTTCAGTCTTTCTTTTTTATATAATATGTCTGCTTGTTACTTATTCTATCAGTACTTTCCTTTTTACTATGCAATTTTTCTTGTCATTTTTCTCCCTGTATTCAGATATCATTGACAGATAACATGGCTAACACTTCTTTTTCTTCTTTTTATTTTTTAAATGTCTACCTGTGTACCTGTGCTCTCTCATTGTCCTGTACTGTTTGTGCGGTATGTTTTTTGACCATTCACTTTGAAATCCAAAAATGCGTATCAGCCGGTGCAAACACCCGGACTGTTTCCTTATGTCTTCTAATGCACATGAACATTTACATATGGAAATTGCCATGCTTAAACATTTACATATTGAAATAAATATTATTGTAATTTGCTTTCCTTTTATTTCTCCTTAATATTTTAGGTAGGTCTTTACATATATTTTCTTTCCAAAGTTATATATGTGGGTAGTTAACGTCCAACTTCAATCTAGGATGGCCCGGGGGGAACTGCTAAATATTTGTTACAAAAAGCGGCTATTTGTTCTAATTAAGTGGAAAACCATAGTCTAAGTAGACCCTAAAGTTCGCTTTGAGTTTGCCTGCTAGCGGGGTGACTGCTCCCTGGTTGGCCTGGGATGGTTTGGTTCAATCGCACCATCCCGGCAGAATTAGTAGTTGTGTCTCTTCTGGTGTCAAGGGTCCCTCCGGCAGCATCTCGGTCTCAGTTCAGTCTTTCTGTATCCTGTGACAAAAACTGCTGGGCCCGCCACTGTTGAACTTTCACCGCTGAAAGTTGCCAGCGTTCTGTTTTATTTGTCCTTGAAAAAAAATTAAAGGCAACTGTTTAAATGCCTTCAGCGCCTTGGCCTTTTTCCCACATTAACTCAGTCCTGCCTTCACCAATTCTCTGAACTTACTCTTCTATTTTTGGCATCTCTACCTACATCCCCTTTCCACTTATTTTCCTGCATACACTTACTGTTCTGCCAGATTTTCATGCTTTCACAAAATTAATTTCGCCTTATCTGACAAGTTGAAACTTCACATTTTTGCCTATAAATAGACTGTTAGTTATTTTCGCCCAGAGTCTCTTTTTGTTTAGATGTAAACCCTCTGGTGTTAACTCATTAAAACAAGCATTCCTCAACTCCATGTTCAGCTGAATGTGTTGCCCTTGGATCGCACCATAAACTGCTCTTATTTTTATGTAGAAGTACCTCCAAATGGCATTCTTTCACTATTTTTTAAGGAACTGCCATATCTTCGCTTTATTTTATTTTTTGAAGGAATACAGGAATTCTGGCCTTTGGAATAAGATGTTTAGTGCCCTGGCCAGTGTGGCTCAGTTGGTTGGAGTGTTGCCCCGTAAACTAAAGGGTCATGGTTCGATGCTGGGTCAGGACACATGCCTGGGTTTCACATTTGGTTCAGGTTTGGTTCCCAGTCCAGGCAGGTGTGGAAGGCTATTGATTCATATTTCTCTCTCTCTCTCTTTCCCCCTCTGGAATAAAAATAAAATGTTTAACCACCAAGAGTTTTAAAGGCATACGTAACCCATATTGGCCTGGTATTTTTTATTCTGGTAAAATACATATCACTTAAAATGTACCATTTCAATCATTTTAAAGTGTGCAGTTCAGTGGCATTAAGTACATTCACAGGGCTGTACAGCCATCACCACCGTCCAGTTCCAAGACTTTTTGTCCCAGAAAGAAACCCCACCACACTCGGCAGTCTCTCCTCGCCCCGCCTCCCCGCTCCTGACAGCCACTGATTGGCTTTCTGGTTCTATGCAGTTGCCTGTTCTGAACATTTCATATAAACGGAATTATGCAAAAACCCACATAATGGAATGAAAACTATACACAGCATACTAAAACAGTTATGTTAAACAGAATGCGTGTATAGTCACTGACAATCCACATGGAACTGCACTTAAATGTAATGCTGGTGTTTATTACTCACCCTCTTTCACTAAGGTTCTGTTGGAACCTAAGACCAGATATGGCCAAGGGAAACACTCAGCCATGACCTTCGTCTTCCATGCCTATGCATTCTTACAGATGGAACCAGGTAGCATTTACTCTCTTCCACTAACCCCCCAGCAATCTCACATTACGGCGCCTGCTGCTATCAGGGAATGACCTCTGCCCTTACCATGTGTGCCTCGGGTGGGGTTTCATAAACATTTTCAGCCTGTGGCAAAGAAAGCAACTTCCAGGCTGGCCAGCATCTCAAAAATGCCTCTCCTGCCCCATCCCTGTCCCTCAAAAACACCCCACCATGTTATAGTCACTTCGGGATCACACTGTGAATGGTCCCTCCATGCAGGAGCAGCTGGATAAAAGGAGCTGACCCCAGCTGCCTTCCTGGGTTTGCTGTTTAGCTGCAGACTCCACAGTAGCCCATCTCCAGTCATCTGCTTCATTCCAGCAGGATGGGTACTGCTGTATTTGCTGCATCTTAAGTGGAAAGATGGGGCACTGACTGTGTTCAACATGAACAGTGTGGTGAGAGAGGTGCAAGTGCCTCTCCCTCCCCCACTCCCTCCCTTCATCTCTGGAGAGGTCCAGGACCACCTCGGGCAATCCCCAGAGTGGAAGCTCCAGCGGCACATCACAGCTCAGCAGAGTGGCTCAGTGTTCTAGGACAGGCAGACCTGGAGGCGTTCACACACTGTTCCTGGCTCTGCGGCTTGAGTGGGCGACTTCTTTGAATCTCATTTTTCTTACCTATTTAAAAAACAGAAGGATGATGTGTACCGGCCACCTTAAATTATTACAGGAAACCATGTGATGATGTATGTCAAGTGCCCACCACAGCGCCTCTCCCACAGGGCTCACTGCTTCTGTTATTATCCCATTATTATTCCACCCACCCTTGTTGACTCTCTCAGACTCATTGCCCCAAGTGGGTGGTCAGTCCCAACTCTTCAAGCCTCTTTCTTGTTTCCTACTTGCAGGGGGCTTTGTGAAGAAGTATGGTCAGCTTGCCTCCAAAACTATAGGGTAAGTTCTGGGATGCTCGAGCCAGGATGAGGGCTGGATTGGCTTTTCCTGGAGACTTGACAGAACATGTCTAAGAAGCAGATCTTCGTGGGTGTCCTGGGTTATGATAACTAAAGCAGGAGCCTATTGAGGTGTGATTCACACAAATTGGGCGTCATTCACAAAGTGCCTCCTGACCTGGCCTCCTCTGTGGCCCAGGTCACCTTGACTGTCCCAGATTCCAAATGCTAAGGAAGAGGGCTATATGGCCATATGGTCTGCAGGAATGTCTAACATTCAAGGCAATGGTTGAAAGATTTAAGTAAGTAGACCTAGGAGAGGTTATCAATATGTGACACTCCTTATGGAAAGTGAACCTATATTGGTAAAGATAAGTAACCGTCGCTGCTATAACAAACAAACCCCCTAATCATAATGGCTTAACACAGGGAAAGTTTATTTCTTACTCAAGCAAAGTCAGTTCAGATATTCTTGAAAATGTGGAGAACCTTCCTATTATTTTTCAGGAATCCAGCTCCTTGACATTTTGTGGCTCCATCATCTCCTAGTCCTTGGAGCTTCTGCTGGGCCCTATGTATCTGGCCAGAATAGTGGGCAAGACAGAATGTGGAGAATCTCACAGGAGGTTTTGTGGGTCTAGTGTAGAGGTGGCATACAGCTCTTCTGCCTGGAGTCTATTGGTCAAAACCCGGGTTTTTGTCCAGAACTCAGTAGAATTCAGGTAGAATTCACCCTTCCTCAAGGGAGTCCAGCAAGTGGAGTCTAGCTACATGCCCAGGAGGTAAAGGAAACAGGTTTTGGTGCCACAGATTCTTCCAGCGGGTGCATTAGACCTGTGTTTAGGCCTAGAGTTGGGAAGGCTGCCCTTCACCAGTTCCTGGCCTCAACCTAAGTGATTGGATGGGGTCCAAGAGAGGAAGGTCTGAATGGTTGCAGTGTCTGGGGCTGGATTCTCTCCTGACTTCTTTCCAGGGACAGATTCATATCCCCTGCAGTGGAGACCTGTCCTAGCATCTGGGGAGAGTGCCCGCCAAAGTTTGCTACCAAGCTGGGCCGCGCAGTGGTCAGAGAAGGACAGATGGGACGATTCTCCTGCAAGATCACTGGCAGACCCCAACCACAGGTCACCTGGCTCAAGGTGAGGTTTTGTCTGCTTCAACTCTGGCCAGGCCTGGGGACCCTGCAAGTTTAGGATTAGACCCTTGGACTAATGGGAGTGTGTGTTTAATGAGTCCCTTCAGTTTAATCCACAAGTGGTTCTCTGTGTGATTCACGGCCATGCTTATTCTTGCCCTCGTTTGCATGCTCTCCCTCTGTTACTCAGCCCACAGTGTCCTGTAATCCACATACTCACAAAACAGTGTCCGACCTCAGAGGCAACACAGGCCTGACCATCACCAGAGAGTAGAATCTGAAGTCATGGGATGAGGGTTTAGGCCACAGCTCCCTGGTTCACGAAGCATGTGATACTGTGCAAGTCATTTGATCCCTTAGAACCCTGGTTTCCTTATCTGCGAGGCAGAGCTATCCCACCTCCCTCAAAATATTCCACGTGTAAGTGCTTTATAAACCTCTCGGGTCTGGGCAGCATGAAGGCAGAGGTGGAGGAGGAGGCATTGGGAGGGGAAGTGAAGGCAGCAGGGAGGAAGGAGGAGGGTTGCATGTTACACAGGGCACAGAGGAGCCTCAGGGAAAACTTGGGGTCAAGGCCAGGGAGAGCAAGTTCTCCACAGATGGAACTCCCGGATTAAAATAAGTGACAGGACATGTATTACTATGTCTTAATTCTCTCGAACTGACCCTGGGAAAAGGATAAAAGGAACAAGAAGGCAAAGGAGAACTGAAGTGGAGAATGTAGGATTTCCCACCTCAAAGTAGGGCTCCTTGGAAACAGGTTGCATCCATCTGCTCTAAGCTCGACCAAACACCGTGTTGCATACACAGACCTCGGGTCGGGGCAGAGGGGCTGTTCAGAGGCCGCCCTTGTGCAGCATGGAGTATACAGTCAATAATATTGCAGTAACTACATACAGTGTCAGGTGGATACCAGGCTTAACAGGCGATCACTTCATAAGGCATATAAATATCTAATCACTATGTTGTATACCTGAAACTAATATAATCATGTATGCCAAGTGTAATTGAAAAAAATTTTTTTTAAATAGCCTGTTTTCTAAGCATGTTGACAGAGCCCAAAGCAGAGGTGCCTGGTCTGTCCCCCAAGGACTGGCTGGAGGAGGGAGGACAGGGCCAACGGGCGAGCAGGTTTCCCTGACCAAGCTGCCCTGTTGCCACCCACAGGGGGACGTTCCCCTGCAGCCAAGTGCCCGTGTGTCTATGTGTGAGAAGAACGGGATGCAAGTTCTGGAAATCCACAAGGTCAGCCAAGACGACGTGGGCGTGTACACATGCCTGGTGGCGAACGGGTCAGGGAAGGCCTCCATGTCGGCCGAGCTTTCCATCCAAGGTGGGAACTGACGGAGGGGCCAGAACACGCAGTTCATTCCTGGGGCCCTCCTACCTTTTCATGATGCATCTGTGGGTTACGCGTGTCATGTTCACATGCCCGTGTGTTCCCCAGAGGCAGAGTCTCGAACCAGCAATGACCTTCACCTCTCCTCCTCCTTTCTCCTATGATTTTTCTTTCCCAAGTTTTCTTCCTTTCTCAGACACTCCTCCTCCTCCTCACTTTCTTTACTATTTTTGGCCCCAAGCATTTTTCACAACAGAAAATGTTCATTGCAACCCAGGACATGCCTCTGTATATAAATGTATTTACCTGAAACGAGTTTCGTGAAACAGTCCCGAGCTGTGCTACGAATGGCACCTGCTGGTAGTTTTTGTTCCATTTTCCATCATCTGGGCTCGACCGAAGAATTCGCCTTCACAGCTCGCTACAGGCTCAGGACCTGCTGCTGGGCGGGGAGAGCAGGGTTCCGGGCGCTGCTCCCTAACCCGTGGGAGCACTGAATTAAAGACCCGTCGCCCTCTGAAGTGCTCAGTGGCAAAATGCTATGTTATCTGGGATTTGTTTTAGAACACTCCCAGAAAAAACTCCCCAAAACAAAACAGGTGGGTAGATAAGACTGGCCAAATATTGATATTTCCTTCATCTGAGCACTGGCTTTCAGGGTGTGTTACATCCTTCTGTCTACTATTGGACACTTTGATAATTTCCATAATAAAATTTTAACAATTAACGTGGCTGGAAAAAATATTGTTTCTTTCGAGAAGATAAATAAAAATACACTTTCCCTTTGCATTTTATAGCAGGTATTTGTCAAAAATGATCATCTAGGGGCTTTGTTTTTAGAGCCAGGTGTAAGTTCGACTGTTTGGATTTGAAATTTTCCACGTATGTTTATTTTTGTTGGTCCCCATTGGTTCTGGCTCCCGGCTGCGGCCTGGAGGCCAGGTCGGGGCCTGCTGCAGGCTGGGCAGCCGGCGGCAGTGGACGCACAGACCGTGTCTCCAGAGCTCAGAGACCCTGAGCACCTCTCACGTGAACCCACGGAGGTCAGGGCCAGAGAAGCTGAAATGAGTGAGGGAGGGGGAACCGTGGGGAGGGGAAAGTGAGGGCTTAGGAAGTGAAAGCTTTCAAATGGAAGAGACTGTTGTCTCATTACTGTGTGCCCAGGTGTATAAAACACCCCACTCACGGTGTCTCTCCCCTCTCCTTTTTCCAGGTTTGGACAACACCAGTAGGTACGTCTGGGCGTTACGGTTATTGTTTCCATTTGAAATGCCCTGAATTTCCGAGTCATAGCGGGAGGGAGAACTGTTTGCAGGGTGTTGTTGCTCGCGGGCGTGTCGTTCTCCTGTTGTAATATGCCATCCGGGTTCTATATCAGACTTGCCATGAGTATTGAGGCTCTCGAAGACACAGTGCCATCGTCTTTCTCGGTGTCTGCTCAGGTCAGCATCGTTAGGAGGGGCGCTCTGCTGTGGAAGGACACTGTCCACGTGGCAGGCCGGAGCCCACGGCTCCTCCAGCTCCTCATTCTCAGGAGCGGCCTTTCCCGCATGCGAGGTTCAGTGCCAGGCTCTGGGGGTGCAGGCTGAGCTGGTGTCTAGTGTTGGGAAGGGCTCTAAGCAGAGCCGCACAAATACGTAATTACAACTTGTGGTGAGACTGGGGAGGAATAACCGAGAAGCACTCACTTAGGGTAGAGGGTGAGAGAAACCCTCCTGCAAGTGTGATGTCCAAGCTCAAGCCTATGAAGAGTCCTGTTAGCTAGGGGAAGAGGAGCTCAGGAGGAAGTGCTCCAAACAGAGGGGGAGGCGTATGTGACCGTGGGGAGATGAGAGGCGGGCCCCCGGGGGACGCCTGTGTGACTGCAGCCTGGTAAGTATGGACACAGTGTCTTCCGAGGTTGAAGAGGCAGCTGGAGCTCTCGCACATAGGGGCGGACTGGCGGGCCGTCTCAGGAAGCTCAGTTTTGTTCTTAATATGATGGAAATGCTGTTGGAAAATCTTAATGCTTGAACTGATATGACGTGTTTTCTGATTTTCAAAGACTGACTATGTGTGCTGTATGGAACATGGGTTAGAGAGGGCCAGGGCGGACAAGGGAAGCTGGTTGTGTCGTGTGGTGTGAACTAGGGTAGCACTTGGGAAGAAGAGAAGAAAGGCAGATTTAGTAAGTGTAGAAAGAACAGGCTCTGGACCGGGGATGAGGGGCAGGGAAATGTGGAGAATGGCTGCTTGTTTTCTGCCTTGGGAAATGGAGAAAATAGCAGAGGAAGACTTTTGTTCTCTCTTTCTCTTAACTTGTGGGCTTTTGTGATCCCTGGAATCTGTGCTTGTGATGAGTAATGCTTGTGAGTAACCAGATGAGCATTCTATTCCTCCTTCTCCTTCCCCACTGTCCTCCTCCCCACCCTCCAAACCACCGCCCTAACCACCACCACACAGGTCATTTTTGAGGGGAATGAAGGCAGCCAATTCAGATATCAGGAAGGAAGTGACCAATGGAATCGCACAGGGGCCGAAACTGGACAGCGTAGAAACCACAGCTGACAGTAGAAGCTGCTGCAGCACCCAGAGAGGTGGCTCCCCGACCTGGGCCACAAGTAGCCAGCCTCAGCCTCCGAGGGAATCCAAGCCGGAGCCGTCTGGGGACTCACCCAGAAAGACCCTGAGGACCCCCATCCTGCAGAAGACTTCCAGCACCATCACCCTGCAGGCCACCAAAGTCCAGCCGGAACACAGAGTCCCCGTCTCCGGCTCCCTGCTTCCTTCCAGAGAAGAGCGCGAGCGGCTGGCTGCTCCGCCTCCAGCCGCCCTCCCCACCAGACCGTCTGGCCTGGGAACCCAAGAAGTTGTGAGCAAGGTTGCTACTAGGAAAATCCCCATGGAGAGCCGGAGGGACTCGACATTCCCCAAATTCGAGAGCAAACCCCAAAGCCGGGAAGTCTGTGAAGATCAAACAGTCCAGTTCAGATGTGAGGGTGAGTAGAGCTGACCGTGGTCACTGGCCCCCACAGCGTAGCCCTGCGTGGCCACTCCCTTCCTTCAGCACAGTGGTCTGAGCCTCCTGTACCCACCCCCCCCTTGGACACCGCCCATCCCGGAAGCCACTTTACAGGGGTCTTCTCTCAGGAAGGACTCAGTCTAGTGACGTCCTTTGTTGTAGAGAAATACCCAGCAGTGCCCCGCTGCTCATTGTTGGATAGAGCGCCAGCCTCCTGCCCTAATCTTGACTGCCCTGGACTGGGAGACTGGTCGTCACCACCACCATCCCTGTCAAGACATCAGCCACAGGGTCCCTTCTTTCCTGTCTTCTGCTGGCATTGGCTTACCTGAATCCCTAGCTGTCACCCTGTATCCCTGCCCCCCAGGGACCCTGCCTCTGTCTTAGGTGGGTTCCTTTTGTGACGTGGAGGGTTGAGGGGTAAGGAAGTGGACGCCAGCAGGAGGCAGCTGCACCGCAGGCCAAGCCCCTCTCTGGTCCGGTCTTCCACCTCCCAAGCACAGTGTGCTCTCGGGGGGCCTCATGGCCTTCACCTGGCCCTGCAGTTTCAGGGATTCCGAAGCCACAAGTGACCTGGTTCCTGGAGGGTGCCCCTGTGAGGGGACGAGAAGGCACCGTGGAGATTTACGAAGATGGTGGGTCCCATTACCTCTGCTTGCTGAAAGCCCGGGCAAGGGACAGTGGGAACTACAGCTGCACAGCCTCCAATGTCCGAGGCCAGGTGTCCTGTGACTGGACGCTCCTCGTGAAGAGTGAGTACATTCCTCCAGGCCGCCCTGGCTTGTTGCGAGGAGGCCTCATATACTGCAGAAGGTCATCGCCCACAGCCCCCCGCCCAGGGTGTACAACCCCACGGAAACCTTGTCCCCACACACATGCCAAGGCCAAAGTCATTGCTCCGAGACAGTGTGGTTCCTGATCAGGAGTCCATTAACATCAATCACCTCAGAATAAACATGCCCAAGCCCCGTGACCAGCCCAGTTGGGAGCTACCATTTTTAGGTTCCTCAGCTGTCCCAGGAGCGCCCTGACTCACTGCTGTACCCAAGGGGACCAAACGCTCCCTAAATACACACGTTCAAAGTCATGTGAGATGACGGGGGTCCCACATCTTTTACGTTTATTATAACACCTGCTTATAAAAGTAATGTGTGTCCATTGTGAGGAATTTAGACAATATATGATCTTATGAATCAACTAAATATTTTAATGTTTTTAAAACAACATTGACATTGTGCTGTTTGCACACCTTCCTATTCTAATTTGCTCACGCTACTTAAGCCTCTTTCTATATGACTTAATATTATTTGAAAGCTTAATTTTTAAAGGCCACATAATATTTTCTAAAACAATGTGCCTAATTTAGGCACAGTCTTATTGCTGAATATTTAGAGTTTTTTCATTCTTTTCACTATTGTAACAAAACTGATAAATATTCATGTACCATCTATCTTTCTTTAAAGTTTCTCTCTCTTTCTGTTTTCTGCTGATGCTGCAGAAAAGCGGTCTGTTTCCACTAGAGAGACTTCTCATTCCATCCTTTCCCTTCTCCACCAAGATTGTAATATATAATTTTTCTTTCCCCTCCCTTTCTCTAGAGGCCTCTTTCTTTCCCCTACCAGCATGCCCTGGACTGCCCTGTGCTGAAAAAGCAAAGAAAAATCTTCCTTCTGCCCACTGCCTCTTTAGCCAGTGCTGTATCTCTCCACTCTCTCTCATCCTTAAACCCGCAGCCAAGTACACATGGTGTCTACGCACAGCTTTTGTCTGATTCTAGCAGCCCCCACCAGAAAAAAGGCTGTTCAGTGTGCCGGGGTTTGTGTTAATGTTTTACTTGCATTGCTTCCTTTAGTTATCCCAACAATCTTACAAACTAATTATAGTTACACCCAGTACTGAGTTGCAGTGAGGCTAAGTGACTTGTCCAAGGTCACAGGCTTTTAAAAGATAGCTTATTTCTAACCCATGTTGGTCTGACACGGACACCCGTATTATTTTCAGTGGCTCCCAAAGGTGTTTTTCTAATGAGGGGATTTGACACGGACGGCGGCAGACGTGGAGGTGGTGCCGCCCCACGTCCCTCGTGGTGGTCCGTGCCTCCCTCCCTCAGGGCCCCGTCAGGTGCAGCATCCCCCTGACTCCCAGCTGCTCGCCCACTGCTCTCTCCCCTTTGGGGAGCTCTGGTCTCGAGGAGGAAGTGTGGAATAGGCTCAGAGAGCTGGGCATCAAGCCTTGCTTCACCATTGGGTTCGACTGTGGGAAATGACCAATTTCATCTGTGAAATGAGCTAAAGAGAGCAAACTCATGGCCGTGTTACGGTCACACCTGGAAAAGTACCAGGCACATAGTAAGCCCTGAAATATTAGTCTTTTCCCATAAACCCTTGCACTATAATATGGCTTACCTCTCATCACGGTATTGAATAGCTACTCTTGAAAAGTACTGGTGGGCTATCTTCTATAATAATGATCAAAAGCAGTTACACTTTGTCAGCTGTCAGCCACCCTGACGTTTCCACAGTGTGTCGTGTTTGTTGTGGAAGAGAGTATCTGTCTCTACTGTTCGTAACTAAGGTCTCCAAACTACGAATGCTCCCCAGTTCACCCATGCAGAAGACTTCTGGGGAGTCCAGCTGGGTGGTCCTCAACTGGAACGTGCATCAGCATAATGAGGGGACTTAGTAATGCAGAGCCCAGGGCCCCCGTGGTTCTGAGCCATTGGCCTGGGATAGAAAACTAGAACACATGTGAGTTTGTCGTTTGATTCAGTCCTGGAGCTGGAAAAAAATAATTATAATAACTTAAAACTGGAATGTTCTCACCAGTGGACAAGTGGTCTCTCCATGTAAAAAGATATTGAGAAGACTGTGCAGTCACCAATGGGACATAAAGAAGATTTAAAAAACACTAGAAAATAGAGTAGGACCAAGGAAGGTGGGAAGAAGAGCTCTGGGGATGCCCCAGGATAGCAAAAGTCAAGACAAGACAGGAGGCGCCCGAGTCCCGCGGGGAAGGGCCGGTCTGGGTCCTGAGCACTTCCAGACCCCCAGTGTTTAGTGACAGTGAAAAGCCCCTGCCAGTTTCTGGGCCGCAGAGTCCAGGTCTCTGCAATGGGAAATTAAGTGTGAAGATCGCTAAAGCCAAAGCCAGGCCTCAAGGAAGCCCTGGGAGCCCAGGGCAGTGAGGCGTCTGCCTGCGGGACTTGGGGTGACTGTAGTCGTCTGCCGGAATGGGCCAGCTGTGATCCGAAACGGCCTGTCTGTTCTTTGCCCTTGCAGAACTGGCCGCGATGGAGGTGGCCCCCTCCTTGTCCAGTGTCCTGAAGGACTGCACCGTCATTGAGGGCCAGGACTTTGTGCTGCAGTGCTCGGTGCAGGGGACCCCAGTGCCCCAAATCACTTGGCTGCTAAATGGTGAGCCTTCCTGCCCCAGTGCCTACCCCGGTCCCCTGCTCCCGTCCTGTGGCCCCTTTGGCCCTGCCCGTGTCCTCTCTCGGCATCGCCGGTTATCACTCTGACCCATGTGCACGTGAGCAGGAAGCACAGGGCACGGGGAGGGCATGGGACCTGAGAGGCTGCGGCCGCCTGGCTGGGGACGCTGGGCAGGTTACCGCTCTGTCTGAGCCTTGGGCTCCGCACCCGCGAGACGGGAATAATGCCACCTACCTTCCAGGACTGCAGTTGGGAAATGAATTAGACCCTTTATATAAAACAGTTACGAAGTGCCTTGCACGTAGGGGTACAATTTAGTTCCTTTTTATATAGCTAGTCTCATAATAGGCCCTCAATAAATATTGTTCAGTCAACAAATGAACAAATATACCACGTTAATGAACTGTACTAGAGGTTACTCAGAGCACCTGGTCTCTCATTTAGTGGCGGGTAGTTTGGGGATTCATAGGCCAGTAATTCTTTTTAATGTTTTAGTCCTATGGAAACATGCCAGTTTTGGCGGGTGGTGGGGGTAGGGTGGACAAGTAAGGTCCTTTGAAAAAATTGTCATATATAATCATCTTTTGTTTTAAAAAAAGAAGAAGGAAAATGCCTTTAAAGCCCGAAAGTATGGAAGAACTCTAATTTTAGAATGGAGAACAGTGCATAAAACAGATGAAACTGAGCAAGGTCTGCTTCGGGGATCAACAGGGGAATGAGGGAATGGCTGCCAAGGGTTGGGAGACAAGGGCTGTCCTCTGGGCCATCTGGTTTGGTGACCTTGGACACCCCGCTTTACTTCTCTGGGCAGCAGCTTCTTTATCTGCAAGGAGAAGGGCTGGGACAGAAGGCCAGGGCCCGCCACCCCCACCCCCCCACACCGGGCTCTCACAGGAACAGGCTCCTTAAAGGAGCAGCGGTCCGTCATCTGTGCCCCGAATGGCCCCGGCTGTTGCAGCACCACGGACGTGTTTGTTGCCTGGGGACCTTCCTTGTTCGTATAGTTTGTTAAGTTTTGACAGAAATTATGTTCAATCAGTGGGAGAAGGTGCCGCGGAGTTTTCTTACCTGTTGTCTACTTGGTAGGTAAGTGAGCACTGAGGTCAGAGCCCTGTTGGCCGCAGACTGACCGCGAGGAGGCGGCCTCCCGCGGCTGGGGCAGAGCTGGACACTTCGGGGCGGTGGTGTGAGAAGGAGAGTTTGGCTCCCATCTGGAGCTGAGATCGCGCCAGGGGGACGAGAAAATTCTTCTATAAAGGGCCCGAGGGTATTTTCAGCTTGACGGGCCCTGTCCTTTCTGCCACAACTACTCAGCTCTGCTGTCGAGGCACAGAAGCAGCAGGAAACAATATGTGAAGGAGTGGGTGTGGCTGTGTCGCAGTGAATCTGTAGTTACGGACAGTAAATGGGAATTTCATACAATTTTCACATGTCACGAAATATCTTTTCCTTTGATGTTTTTAAACCATTTAAAATACATAAAAACTATTCTTAGCTTTCCGGCTGTACAAAAACAGGCTACAGGTCAGATCTGGCCCTGAGTCGTAGCTTGCTGACCCACCCTGGTCTACAGGGCTCTGGGCTGAAAAGCCGCCCCACCTGCTTCTTCCGGGCGCACCTTGGCATTTCCACACTCTCACCACTAGAGGACAGCCGTGCTCAAGTTGAGTTCCCTTGGCAGCTACGGAAACTTGGGGCTTGACCTTCTTGGAGCTGGGAGTCCCGTGTCTCCCAATCCTGAGTGCCTCCTGTCCAGAGCCACCGGTTCCTCCCATCTTGTGGGGACCCATGGGTCATGCTCCAGGGAAAGGAGAGCTCTCGAACAGCTCGCCAGCACTTGTACGGACAGCAGCGGCCCTTTGATGGCAGTCACTGGGTGGACTGGGGTTCTCTAGCAAGAGAGTTTTTAGGGTATGGAAGAGCATGTCCAAGCCTTCCAGTAACGGGATCCTGGTACCTGCCTTTCCCAGCCCCGCTTTTACAAAGTGAAGTGGGTTGGGCAGAATCTCTTTCCTCTGGGCCTGTGGCATGCTGGGTAGTCTCCGCAGACAGTCACAGAGACAGGAAGTGTTGTTTTGTGCAGGAGAAAACATTGCCTTGCTGAGAGGGCACTTCCTTCTGGACTTCCTCCCTCCCCACGGCCCGCCCCCAGATGTATGAAGTGCAAACCAGGACCCTGCAGCCTGACGCGGGAAGAAACTGGCAGCTGCTTCCTGTATAGTGAATGGACACATTCCTGCTCTAAGGCCAGAATCTTCAGTAATGAGACTTTCCTCCTGGAAATGAAAGCCCACATCTCGGAATGATAAGGTCCCAGGAACATATAGCATTGAGGAAACCACTGCGGTTCACAGCACGTGCTCCTGTTCCCAGGCAGGATTCTATAAAGGGCTTCTGGCTGAAGGGCCTCTGGGAAGAAGGGGCCAGAGATGTTTTGGGTTCCCCGTTTTATCTTTTTCATGAACCCTAAAGTGCACCTAATCACGTGAAGAAATGCACCCAATTGCAACATTAGTTCGAGATTTCTGATAAACATCTGTAATAGGAAATGGAATCATTGTTTCTGGTGACTTCTGAAAAGATCCAGGAACCATCCATTCAGTCTGGGTGAGGTCTGGTGTGCCTGAGACTGGGCTGCAGGCCAGATGACCCTGTAAGATTCGTTCCAGGCTCAGAAGGCTATGAAGTCCAGGGTGTGGACCGGGGGACTGTTTAAACAGAGTGCACAGAACTATGTCCCTCCCACGTTCTAAAGACCTCCAGGCCCAGTCTTGCTCCTCCACCTCACACAGTTACTCCTCTCCTTCATCCCCCTGGCACCTGCCTCTTTCTCTACCTACAAGCCTCTGCCCAGGTGGTTGGGGGTGGGGCTGACACGTCATTAGCTCTCCGTGGATCTGAGCAACGATGGTGAGCATCAGAGTCAAAACAGCAGCAGCCTTTCTGGGGACATTGCTCAGAACCCGGCCCCCAGGGCCCGCTGGCTGAGCCTTCCCATGCTTCCCCCCACAGGGCAGCCCATCCAGTATGCTCGCTCCACCTGCGAGGCCGGCGTGGCTACGCTGCACATCCAGGACGCGCTGCCGGAGGACGACGGCACCTACACCTGTCTGGCTGAGAACCCTCTGGGGCAGGTGTCCTGCAGCGCCCAGGTCACTGTCCATGGTAGGAGCTTCTACAAACACATCTGCTTCGGAAAAGGGGCACTGCACCCCAGAGCAGGCAGGTGACAGGGGTCTGTCGTGGGAGATGGACATGCAAAGGCGAGTCCCCACCACCATACCCCACCAGGGCTGAGGAAAGGTGCGGGGACTGAGGCAAAGACTCCTTTGGCTCAAGCAGCTCTAGACTGGGGAGGAAGAAGATGGCACACTGAGAGATGACCTCAGGGAGTGACCCTAGCCCACTAAGACTTAGGGCTCCCACAAATGACCCCTCACTGGCTGGGGAGCACTGGGTACCAGAGTGCCAGCACCGAGGCTTCTAAAGGGTCTGCCCCTGCTCCCCCCACCTGAGGCCTGTTTTCACACATCACCAGCCCGGTGTCCAGTGATCCGATTATCACAGACATCCCCTTGATCCCTGCCAAGTGCTTTGTCCCAGCAAGTCGCAGGGCAGCCAGGCTGAGGACAGAGCTGCCTGGGCTATGGCACCCGTGGTGGTGACAGCACCCAGGGAAGTGCTTCTGGGGTCCAGGGTGTTCAGGTAAGCCAGACTGCCCAGCCCACCTCTGGCCTGGGCCGCAGCACCTGGGTGTGGCGGGCCTGGGTGGTCTGTGCTCTGCTTGCGCTGCGGGCCGGCAGGAGGACCTCGCCCTCCTTGCCCATCCCCCCAGGGTCCCGGCCTCCCAGGGAGAATGCCCCTGTGACATGAGTGGCCACCTTCTGGAAGGCCACAGGAGAAGGTGTCACTGAAAAGGGCAAGGGAAAACTCATGTGCGCGTCACCGTGTCAGATACTTCCACCTCGCCGGCATTTTCTCATCTGGACCTCAACAGCCCTGGGGGTGGGCGGTGCTCTTCCTACTTCACACAGCGGGGTCTGCAGGTCCCGAGAAGCTAATGTGACTTGCCTAAGAACACCGAGTTAGTAAGTCAAGCTGGCCTCCAAACCCAGCTTCTCATGACTCCAAACCCGTGACCATTTCTGTGCCTGCCCTTTACGGAGTGTGTCCTCTGACCCCAAGTGGGAGGCTGGCCATGGGGACTAGGTCGAGTCAGCCCCCTAGGGATAAGGGAATCGGCACCGACTGACAACGTGGCCGACGCTGGCTGCCTGAGGCTCCCTGCCAACAGGGGACATGCTCCCTGGACTGGCCAGCTTCTCCTGGGTGCCTCTGCATGGGGTCATCTCTGGTGACTTGGTCTCCCTTCTGGAAGCCCTTGTCACTCTGGTAGGAGTGTGACTCTGGCTGCTGGGCGTCTGCCAGCCAGCATTCTGGTTTACACGTTTATCCCGTTTCCTCATGGGTCTCATTTCATGGCTCATTGAGGGGCCTGGGGAAATTGTGGTAATGGGACTTAAGAGGAAACAAGACCAGGTCCGAGCCTTGTCTCCTTGGTCCAGGGGGGCTGCTTGCTCCTTCCCACCAGGGAGCTCTCCCTGGAGGTTTGCATAACCTACCCCGAAGTCTAGTGACAGCCGAGAGCCAGAACAGCGTTCAGTGAGTGCGTCATCTGAGCTGCTCCCTCACTGGTTTCAGCCAGGGGCCCCGCTAATCCAGTGCCTGTCCCGCCTGCCAGAGTTGAGATCCGATTAGAGAGCCCCAGCTGAGCTAATAGTGCAGCTATCGGTGGGGGCCCCGGATGATGGCACGAGAAGCCTTGCAGCCGTCCTTCTTGCCTCCAGGTCTGTGGGAGGAGGGGGCCCTGTGTGGAGGCCAGTCCAAGCATGTTTTAAAGCAAAAACACCGAGGCCCCGGCAAGAACTCCGCCGGGCCCTTCGGACTTGCTCTGAGAGCGGCCCTGCATGAGTGAGCACCCCTCCCAGTGTGGGGATTTACCGACCTGTGAAGGCCAGAGGCTCAGACACCATAAATGGTGAAGGAGGCCGAGAGATGCACACGTGCGCCCGGGCTGGCGGCCCTGGGGCTGTCTGCACGAGGATGGGGGCCGGGCCTGGCAACGCGACACCCTGGCTCCAAGCCCCAAGGCACTCGGGGACCTCGAGTCCACATCCCGGACCATCCTCCCTCCACAAACTGGAGTTTTCCGTGCTTTCTTGGCTGCCCCTTTGGCTCCAAGTCCTTCAAGGGCCACTCAGGAGATGGGAGGTGACTGCAATGGAGGCATTTGTTCTCTGCTGCACCTGCCGCTCTTATGCCCTCCCCCTTCGCTGCCCAGGCCTAGTCTCTCTGTCACCCTCAGCATGGCACCCAGCCACTGTTGGAGCGTGGATACGGAGCCCGCTGCCTGGGCGTGACTCCCTGCTCTGCGACTCACCAGCCCCGCAGCCTGGGCTGCTAGTCTGTCCTCCAGGCCTCACCCTTCCCTTCCGTGAAGTGGGGGCACGGACAGTCATCCCCGTACTGTGAGAGTTAAATGAATGAATGAATACGCACAATGTCCCCAGAACATAGGAAATGCTCAGTAAGTGTGTGTTGTTAGGACAATTGTCCAATGGGGCCCTAACCTTTAAACAAAATAAAAGTTTAAAATGTAAGTCTAAGAAGCTATCTTACCAAACAATCAACTTTGTCACAGTGGGTAGCCGTCTGTCTGTTTTGGGTAAAGGGAAGAGGATCCGAGAAGGGAGGCTGGACGCTAAAGCCGTGGTTTCAGGCACCTTATCCTAGGAGATCAGGCCACCAGAGGGCGCCCTCCAGCAAAGCGTCGTTCCGGGGCGGAGCCGTTTCGGAGGGCTACTCTTAGGGAGGCAAGCTCAGTGGGAGAGGTCAGCATACACTTTGCTGAGGACCAGATGTGGGGACTCTTTCTCACGTCTTTCGCCTTTTGCCAAGGTTTTGCAATCGTCCAGAGTGGCCCAGGACTCTGGCATGCTTTCTGCAGCCACTTTTCCTTGCTTTCTCTGCCTCTTCTCCTCGGTACCCCTCCCTACAAAAATCCAGCTAACTCCCTCTCACAAATGCCACTTCCTCTGGGAGGCCTTCTCTGATTACCCCAGAATGGGTTCTCCTACCAGCTGTGCCTTCCTTATCATTGTGCTTATGTACCAACAAGTCTTTACTGAGCATCTGCTTTGTGCCAGGCCTGTTCTGGGATAATTGCAGTGAACAGGACAGACAAGCTCTCCCTTCATGGCATTGATATCGTGATGGGAAGATAGGTAGTACTCAACACCTGCTTTAATCAAACACTGAAAAGAACTATTGAGAACATAGAATAGCCCTGGCTGGTGTGGTTGAGTGGACTGAGCGCCGGCCTGTGAACCGAAGGGTCGTTGGTTTGATTCCCAGTCAAGGCACATGCCTGGGTTGCAGGCCAGGTCCCCAATATGTGGCATGTGAGAGGCAACCACGCATTGATGTTTCTCTCCCTCACTTTCTCCCTCCTCTCCCCTCTATAGAATAAATAAATAAACAAATAAATAAATATCTTTTTTTTTAAAGAACATGAGAGTAGAGAGGGGTGGAAGGAATGCTGTTTCAGTTGGGTGATGAAGCAAGTCTCTATAAGGAGGTGACTTTGGAGCAGAGACTTCAGCGAAGTGGAGAAGGGGCACAGCAGGAGCACAGCCCTGAGTCGTGAGCAGGGTCAGCCTGCTCAGAGAACAGCGAGACAGCCAGTATGGCTGGAGCAAAGTGAGCGGGTGGTCAAGTAGCAGAGGATGCGTTCAGAGATGGAGGCAGGGGCACGGCATTCAGGGCATTTAGGGATAAGAAAAAAGCATTTCGTTCTGTCCGATTTTACTCTAGTTGTCTTCCCCGCCAGACTGCAAGCTGCCTGCAGGCAGGGACCGTGTCCTATGCACTGTTGCATGTGGAACAGGGCCTGCCATGGGAGCTTGTGTTCGCTGAATGAATGGAAGAGCAGACTGAGGTCAGTGAGTTTCCCCAGCAGTGCAAGCGGGGGCACTCTGTCCACCTCCTCCCTTGCCTGGTGGCTCAGCCAGTGCTCACTAATCCACAGGTGATCCACAAACCAGCTCTTAAATCAATTACCAAATATTCCTTCTTTCCCCACTCAAGGAAAAAAATCCCCAGTACTTAACCAAGCGGTGAAAGCCTTCCCCCCTGACCCAGGATGGAGCCTAAAGGATTAATTTTCCTGTAGCGTCCAGGAAAATTTGAATGAGAATAAAGTTTTCCGTGTATTTGGACTGGGTCCTTGGTGGGGGCTTCCTTAGGCTAGAACATTTTATCTCCTCCTGGAGTGTCTTTGTTGAGGCTAAAATTCTTAAGTGACTAGATTTACTAACCTACTAATTGCACTCATTTTGACATAGTTCTTTAGTCTAATGATGTGTTTATTTAACTGAAGGTCTGTTGGGCTTTGTAAAGGCGCCTAAGGATATAAAATATGGGTAAGTTGAAAAAATAATCTCTAAAAAAATGAAACTTCATAACCATATTTATTAGAGCGTTTGGTTTGATGAAGAGCTCCCAGTGAAAACCAAGGGCACCGTGAAGTCAGCTGTTCCCCATGAGGGCGGCAGTCGAGGCCCCGCCTTTTAGACCAGTGACGGCCACACCGTGAGGCAGCTTTGCGCTCAGACAGCCTCCACAACCGGAGGACACTGGCTGCCACCTCCTCTCTCCTAAATTGTGCCCGGGGACGTGGTGCACTGTGTGATCTGTCCAGTGGGTGGAAGGCAAGCGCCTTGCCCACCATGAGTTTAAAAACACTGAAAACATTAAAAATACTTATTTTAGCTAAAGAGAAATTTATTGAAGGAGAAGGATAAATATTGGTTTTTAACTTGTGTTTTTTTTAAGAACCTTAAAAAATGTATCAAAAAATCCTTAAAATTCTAAGAAGGCAAGCAACTAAATGTTAAATTATTTTAAAACCAATGGTTTAGTTCTGTACAGGTTGAACACTGCAGATTTTGGGCAGTGGGTCCTTCCTGTCGCAGGACTTCCAAGTATATATTTGTACATCTGAGTCCAAATCATAGAACTTGAGCCTCATTTTGCTAACTAGAGATTTATAACTGTCTGCTTATACTGTAGGTCATATCTACCAATTACTTGCTTGGAGACTTTGG